ACATTGGTAAAATGTATTAAGCAATTTAGAATGAAAAAGTAGTTTACATTTTGATCGCGCGAAGAGATTGCATATTTGACGCAAAACAATGTCAATGTTTCGTGCTCTTGGGAAGTATAAATACGCTTGAGAACACATCGAATTTATCAGTCACCTTGTTTAGTCGACACAGACAACACAGACCTCAAACAATTCAAAATGTTCAAATTGGTGGTGTTGTCCGCTCTTCTGGCCGTCGTTGCCGCACGCTCCAGGTCTCTACACCTGCCCTCTGGCTTACAGCGCTGCTGTTGTTGGAAGCGTACCAACTTCCGTCAGCATCAAAGCAGCAGCGTCGTCCACAGCGCCGCTTTGACCGCTCCACGTTGTGACACACGCTCCAGTCGTATCTGCTTAATATATTATTATATTTACTTAATAAACTAAAATTATATATCTTCCTTAAACTATAATTATGCTTATTAATAGAAAATTATTATTTTTTATGGCATTATTTTATTTAAGATGTGCTACAATTTTTTAAATTGAAAAAAAATCTGATTATGAACATTAGGAATACAAATATTTAAAAAAAATGTTTCATAGTTCAATTATTTTGAAATATTATTATGTATAAAGATAAAGTTAATTTTACTTTAAAACTATATCATAAATTCATAAATTGAAGTATACATATATTTCTTTATTATAATACTCTGATTCTTTGTTTTTGATACATATTATTTTACTGTGTATTTTTGTGTGCTTTGATGTATTTATTTGAATTTCTTCTAAAAAGTACATGAAAGTAAATATAAAATTAATGTATATTTAAAATCAAAATAATCAACTTGATCTTATCAGGTGTTAATCAGATATATAAAGAATATATAACAAGTTGATATTTGTTAAATATTATAATAGTACTTCAAATTAATTCCTTTTTTTTTCTTTTCAAAAAGTAGAATTCAATTATTTACAATAATGTCAACTATATTTAATATTAAGAATAGAATTATAAATTACAAGTTAAATTATTAAAAATGAAAACCAATATTTTTGATGTTCAAAAAGCGAAGTATTATGTAAGATAAGCCAAATATTTTAATTGTTGAATTTGTTTTCGTTGATAAAATTAAGAATAAAATAATTGGTTTATAATATAATTTTAAAATATTAAAAGATTAAAGTTATATTTTCTAATTACATAATTTAAGAATGTATTCTACATAATATATTAATAATAATAACAATATTTATTGCATCAGTCGTTCTAAAAAAACATATACCGAAATAAAAAGAACAAAATATATAAATGGCAATAATATATTAATAATTCAGATATTAACTTAATTACTTAAAAAGAACACGGTGGATAGGTTATATTAAAAAAGAATTAAAAAGACGTATTTGAATTTCAGAATTTTATTTAAGTTTTTTATTCATCATAATCAAGTTTAGTATACAACGGTTCCATGAACACCGTGGTATCCGACAGCAGGGGCACCTACGATTTGAGCGGAGTGAGCAGCTACTACTGGAGCAGAGTAAGCGGACAAAAGTGGAGCGGAGTAAGCAGACACAACTGGAGCGGAGTAAGCAGAGACAACTGGGGCGCTGTGAATAACTGGAGCGCTGTGAACAACTGGAGCAGTCAAAGCAGCGCTGTGGACTACGCTGCTACTTTGATGGCTGACGGAAGTTGGTACGCTTCCAACGACAGCAGCGCTGTACGCCAGAGGTGCGGTGTAGAGACCGGGAGCGGCGGCAACGACGGCCAGAAGAGCGGACAACACCACCAATTTGAACATGTTGAATTGTTTGAGGTCTGTGTTGTCTGTGTTGACTAAACAAAGTGACTGATAAAATCGTATTCTTCGCCATCCTATTTATACTCACTACTATTGACATTATTTGCGTAACATTTGCCTTGCGCGTCTGAAACATAATTTCATTTAATAAAATACGTATTATATAACTTCAATTTGTAAAGTTGTGATGAACATTAATATTCAATGCGTGTATTGCGGTTCTATATTTGATTATCTTAATCTATTTACTTCAAGAGGAACAAAAAATATAAACGATTTAAAACTAATAGAAATAAAATTGGAAACACAAAGTTACTATAATTGAAGTTAAAATAAATGTCCTTCTCGAATTATTTTACAATAATTAATATTTTTTCATAATTTTCAATTCTTTATAAATATCATTTATTTAATACTATTATATTTTAACATAATTAAATGACATTATTTGTGTATATACTGTATATTTCTCAATTTTCCAACAAAATATTTTTCTGTTGTGTTACGTTAGCCTATTTATCAATTCAATTCCAGTTATTACATTTTTTATGAGTTCATTAAAAACCAATCAATAATTAATTTCATGTAAAATAATTATAAATTTTTGGTTAATAAAAATGCTGGCGACGGAAAAACTATTAATATTTACAGATTTACTTGTTTTTACATAATTTTGTTTTCATATTAATATGCAGCTCTCTATATTTAATTTGATTCTATTGTACACACGTATTCTTGTATACCAACAATAGATAATTACATTTTGAAAATAAATATTTCAAACAATGTTTTTATACATAATAAATACTAAAGACCGGTTAAATCTATAAACGTTAGTGTCAAATTTCTAAAATATTATGACTTTGCTTTAAATATAAATATAAATAAATAAATTTTATCTTAATTATTGAGATCAATAATTTTTATTGATTATTCTTTCATTGTTTCAAATCATTAAAAGATATTTAAAAATCCATGAATTATAAAACAATTCCTTGAAATTTAAATCCAAACAATCCAACTTATCCTCCTCTCTAAATTCTGTGTCCCTCGAAGCCCAAATATCCTTCCCAAATTTAGATATCCTACATTATCCCTATTCCAATACCTAATGTCCCTCGATTGATACACACTTGTTCCTACTCCGCTACTTTTTTTTCCATCATTCTTCTGTTGTTCATTTGTATATTATTATTATAATACTGATATTATGTCATAATTAAACTTATATTCCCGGGAGGAAAGACATTGTTCATTAGCCCTTTGGCCAGCCTATTAATATATATTTTTTTATATTAGAATTTATTTTTTTTTATGTGTATAGAATGTACTTTTTTTTCATATGTATTGATGTTTGGCCAATAAATTATAATTATTTATTAAAACAATATATTTCTTACGGGTATAAAGACACCTATTTATACATTTCTGTAGTTTTGAACGAATAAGGAAATAAGGTTAAACATGATTAAACAATTTTGTTTAGTAGACAACAGTTCCGTGGAGACCGTGGTAACCATGGATACCAACAGCTGGGGCTGCTACGATTGGAGCAGCATGGGCAGCTACAACTGGAGCAGAGTAAGCGGAAACTACTGGAGCGGAGTAAGCAGAGATGACTGGAGCAGAGTAAGCCGATACGACTGGAGCGGTGTGTACAACTGGAGCGGTCAAAGCGGCGCTGTGGACTACGCTGCTGCTTTGATGACTGACGGAAGTTGGTACGCTTCCAACGACAGCAGCGCTGTAAGCCAGAGGTGCGGTGTAGAGACCTGGAGCTGCGGCAACGACGGCCAGAAGAGCGGACAACACCACCAATTTGAACATTTTGAATTGTTTGAGGTCTGTGTTGTCTGTGTCGACTAAACAAGGTGACTGATAAATTCGATGTGTTCTCAAGCGTATTTATACTCGCATGGTGCAGGACGCGTTGACATTGATATGAGTCATACGTGCATTCTCTTTAAGCGCCGAAAATATAAGGACAATATTCTTTCCTTGTTCAACTACTTGTTAATCTTATTTATTTCAATTAACAACATTTATTTTTGTTTTTCAATTTTCATATAATTTACTTTGTTTTTAATTATACATTTTAAAAAGGACTAAAGGATTTGGTCCTTAAAAGTATCTTAACGTTAGGTTGTAATTACATTAAACTTACAAAGCATCATTACTAAAGAAGATCTATCTTGTTTGAGTAAACTTATATGAAGATTACTTATCTTTCTGATTCGTTTGTATTCAGTAATACAAAATTTCATATAATAGAATATATTATAAAAAAATAATATATATTTATTTTTATATTAAAATAAAACAAAATAAATAGATTATTAATTATTTCAAATTACTTAAAATTTAATATCGGTAACAAATAGTATGAAGTTTTATTTACGTTGTTAATTAATAATTCAATAATTTAGAAAATGTATGTAGTTGTATAACTTCAAAATTCTCAGATTTAGTTCATTTTGAGTTTCAATGATTATATTATAAATATTTATTGCGATCAAAAGTAAAAAATAGTTAAATACTAATATTTATTACAACAACACAAAAAAAAACATAATTTAATAATTCCATACAATAATAATGAAACAAAAAGTCAACTGCTGCAAAGGACTATTGATTATATGTCTTTATGTCTGAATAAATATTTATTAATACTGAAAATATCTTTCAAATTAGGATATAAATAAACTTCATCACATTCTTCATCATGATTATCAAACGCAATATTATAAATTGCATTTGGTTGTGTTTATGATATTTCTAAAGTCTAATATAAAAAACAAAGATTTTGTTTTGATAAAATAATTTATTATGGGATAAATCGTTCATAGCCCTTTATATGCATGTAAAAACATGTGTACGATAAATTATGTTTATAATTATTAATTTATAGAATGCATTTTCTAATTATTAAAATATTTTTTGAATAAAATTGTAATTTGATTATAATGAATTATTCGTCAATGTTTAATTAATTTACATTATTATAATTTTATTCATGTTATCGTTGTTAATTTATAAGTAAAAAATATTTATTTTATGTTAGCTGAAAATTAGTAAATATAAAGTAAAGGTTAGTAAATTGATTGATTTGAAAATAAGTTATTTATATGTCAGTTTAGTTTGGATGTCTAGGTTAGATGACGTACAATATTATTTATAATTACTTAATTGTTTCATCTCAACTTCAAGGTATAATTAAATAATGTTCTATTTTCAATAATACTTTTTATTTATGTTTATCATTACAAAAGTCATTAGATTTAGTAGACAACAGCTCCATGAAGACCATGGTAACCATGAACTCCGACAACTGGGGCTGCATGGGCAGCTACAATTGGGGCAGAGTAGGCAGAAACTATTGGAGCGGAGTAAGCAGAGACGACTGGAGCAGAGTAAGCCGATACAACTGGAGCGGTATGGACGACAGGGGCGGTCAAAGCAGCGCTGTGGACGACGCTGCTGCTTTGATGGCTGACGGAAGTTGGTACACTTCCAACGACAGCAGCGCTGTACGCCAGAGGAGAGGTGTAAAGGCCTGGAGCGGCAGCTACGACGGCCAGAAGAGCGGACAACACCACCAATTTGAACATATTGAATTGTTTGAGGTCTGTGTTGTCTGTGTCGACTAAACAAGATGACTGATAAATTCAGGGACTTTTCGCGCGTTTTTATACTCGCTTACTAAAGCTTTGACATTGGATATACGTCACATATGCATTCTCTTTTTAGTATCAAATTTCATAACTGAAGTTTTGTTTTCTTCATTTTTCAGTTGTTATATATTATTCTATATCAATTATTTTTATTACCTTATAAATAAATGAATCTAATCAAATACTTATTTGTTTCTAAAGTTTGGAGTTTATCATTAATTATCCTTTTTTTTTTAATTTAACTATAATATATTTCATAAATTTTTTAATGAATATTAAAACAAAATAAGATATAATAAATAAAATATATTAATTTATTAAAGTTAAAGTTAAATGTATAAAATTATTATTTTTTTATGACAGGACGCCACGCCAATAGAAAAATATTATATCCTTCTCGGCAGAAACACTTTGAGGCAAATGGGACAAATTAAAATATGTAAATAATGAAACATAAATTCCTAGTCGGAAAGATTTAGGTCCATATCACTTTAGTCAAAATTAACCATTAAAGTTTTTATATAAATCAATCAACAATAATTAGCCACTATTTTTTGTAAAAAATAGATATTCAGGAACTATGTACCTCATTTAGAAAAAACATGATATAATACATAACTAACAATACTATTACAAATAATTTATTTTTCTCATTCAAAAAATTAAACACGAATAAAATAAGCAAAAAAAAAACAATAAATCAGAAAATTCTTATTAAAATGTTAATACATTTAGTTATTATTTATTTAGTTATACATACATTATATATAAATAATTACGATTTCATCAAAAAAAAACTCAATACAATAATCAAAATAAAATAAAATTCAACTTCTGCTAATGATCATAGGTATAATATATAATTTTTCATAATTAATTGAGTAGAAAATATATTTTAGCATAACACAAACTTCAATATAAAAAAATATAAAAGCAAAAAATAATAATTTTCAATAAATAACTACAGAACTATCATAAATTCCGCCCAATGTATTATTATTTTACTTTTTATAATCCTTAATATCATGTTTTTAAATTGTTGTCTATTTGGGCCAAGAGGCTGTAGTTTTTCCTTCTATTATCATTTAATAATATAAAAAATAACATACATTTGTAATTCTATATTTCAAATTATTGAAAACAGTATATATTTAGTCATATTTCGTTAAGTTGACTTATTTTTTATATTTCATTATAATAGTGAGAAAAGAACATTATTGTCATACTAATGTTAATTTACATACAATATTCGTACATTTTTATTTAATTCAATGAATATTGGTTAGTTACCAAGTTATTTAAATTTACTGAAAAGTATGCTTATTGTCACAGACTTTTAAGATTATCATAAGAATCAGGGTCACTCATAATCATATCTTCAACTTAAACTAATAGCTGACTTTTTATTAATAATTTTATATAAAAATAATCAAAGAATATTTCTTTCTAGGTTTATGAAATAGGTAAAAATAAAAAAGATAATTGTTTATGCATTTTTATTTTTTAATCAGGAAATTAACATTATTTAATAGACAACAGCTCCATGAAGACCGTGGTAACCATGGACACCCACAGTTGGGGTAGCTACAATTGGGGCGGCATGGGCGGCTACAACTGGAGCGGAGTAAGCGGATACTACTGGAGTAGAGTAAGCGGATACCACTGGAGCAGAGTAAGCAGAGACAACTGGAGCAGAGTACGCAGATACAACTGGAGCGGTGTGGACAACTGGGGCGGTTAAAGCGGCGCTGTGGACGACGCTGCTGCTTTGATGGCTGACGGAAGTTGGTACGCTTCCAACGACAGCAGCGCTGTATGCCAGAGGAGAGGTGTAAATGCCTGGAGCGGCGGCAACGACGGCCAGAAGAGCGGACAACACCACCAATTTGAACATATTGATTTGTTTGAGGTCTGTGTTGTCTGTGTCGACTAAACAATGTGACTGATACGTAAGAAATCTTCGCGATCGTATTTATAGTCGAATGGTTCAGTAGGTGACATTGATTTGAATCACATGTGCATTCACTTTAAATCCCAAATTGTATGTTATTGTTTTATATCTATTTCATTTCTTTTAATAGATTATTATATATGTTATATTATAACAATAAATTCATTATTTTATATAACTAAAAACATCTTATATTTTTATTTCTAAATTTGTTTTTTTTTTATAATAAAAATGTACTATAAGAAGATATATGTTTTTAATTATAAATTATTGATTTGATTGGGATTAGGTACAAAAAAAAAATGCAAGGTTACTTTTGTTCTGACATAGACAAGTTGTTTATTATATGTAAATTCAGGTTTCTATTGCATATTGTTGTTGTACATTTAGATATAGATCAGAAAATTGCTTTTAATAATATCCGTGTCCGCCCAAACTAGAACCACCCAATCCACCTAAAGACGAACCTCCCAAAGAAGATCCTCCAAACCCGGAGCCTCCATAAGAGCCTCCTAAAGAAGATCCACCCAAAGAAGATCCTCCTAATGAAGATCCTCCTAAACCAGAGCTTAATAAAGATCCACCATGTCCGGCTATGACTCCTCCACCATAGGATGAGACGATTGGAGCAGAGGCAACCAGTGGTGTAGACACGGCGTAGCTGCTGCTGCTTTGACGGCTAACGGATCCTGGAACACCGATTCCTCCAGTGCTGTAGCCCAAAGAAGATGACAGGTACCCAGGAGAAGCGGTGGCTACGGCCATGGCAACGAGGAATACCAATAACTTGAACATTTCTGTGCTGTACTGTTGTGTTTTGGTAGTCTGAATCAATGAGATGACTGATGCCAATCGTTTGATTGACACCCTATTTATAGTAAGTTTATGTAAGAAATTTGATTTTTATTTAACGCCTGTATTGCATTCACATTGCAATTTGATCGCCATCATTGCAGCGTTATGAGGTAATGTAATATAAGTACTATTATTCATACACACAATAAAAAAATAATATAAGTTACATATTTTTTTCTTCACTTTAAAGTAATAATAAATGTTCTTAACTAATTAAGTTTAAATTTTCTATTTTTTTAAATAATTATTAATTTATAATAGTTAAATTTGTATTGACAATAAATTAATATAAAGTTCTCTGTAAAAATAAAATACTTTTATATTTTCTTCGTAATATGTATATATATATTTTTTCTTAAATAGATTTTGGTAAAAATAAATCGTTACTAATGATTCGATTATATCAATTCAATAGTCAGTTTTGTACATCATTCATCGTTCACCATGCAAAAAATTGTATCTATTCAATAATGTGGTATAATATATTTACATGAGTTCAATATCTTTCCAAAGTCATAAACAAAATGTTTTATGATACTATGATTTTGTAAAGACAAAATATACATTTTTGCATTATGTTAGCCCATCAAACTCAATCTAATCATAAAATGATCTATTTACAAGAAAAAGAAAGTAGTAATCTAAGTGTGATCATTGATTTGCTGAGCGTTATGTTTGTCTTAATTAAATATTGGAATCATTTTAATTTTTGATTTATGTCAGATGAACTTGATAAACGATAAATATTATTTTCTATAGAATAATTTAAGTTCACATCATTAGTAACCAAAATTACTACCAAAATGTACTTCACAATTAATACTAATTTTAAACAAATCAATAAAATATACTTTCAATTTAAATATGGCGGAGATAGTTTTCGAATTTAAATATTGTGTAAGATTATTATAACTAGTATAATCATATAGGATATTAGGAATTAATTATTAAAAAAAAACATAATTCTGGTTCCTCGAAAGTTACATAAAAATATCATGGAAATAGGAATGAAGTTTCAAAACTGATTTTTTGATTAAGTTTGTTATTAAATTAAGTGTTATTCAATAGTTGCAATAAATATAAATAATATTATATTTTATACTAATAAATAATTAAATGTTTGATACTTTTTTGAACTCTTATTTCATAATGAATATTTTGTATTCATAATGCATAATGATAAATATTATATTCTCTATAATTTCACGGACAAATATGTTTATTTTTTTTTAGTTAACCAATATTAATGAAATGTAGGTAGATTAAATTTTAATAGCAGATCCATTAATAAGAAATGGTTTCGTTATTTGTTTCGACATCGTCATTATAGTTTCCATTTAGAGATTTACGTAGGTCTTTAGAAACCATTACGCCTGAAACATTCTCATATTTATAAGTCCTTAAAGTAATGTATAAATTCCAAGTCTAAACAACTTTTATGTCATTTATACATTAAATATTCTAATTTGTTTTATAAAATTTACAAATTTTAAAGCACTTTAAAATACTTTTTCTTACTTGAAAAGTAATATGTTTTTGCGAAGGATAAAGGATATTTAAGAAATAATAATATAGTTGGTATTGCATTTTAAAAATCACATTTATTGTTACAGTTGTAGCTTTACTATTGCATTGAATCCTTGTTTTTTTCTTCTTGTATCGTTTATTTTATATGGGGAAATGGAAAAGTCATCATCGTTTAGTAGAGAACGCCGTGGCCGCCGAGAAGAGGTCCGGCCAAAAGAGACCCAGCATGTCCTCCCAAAAGGGAACCTCCGTGACCTCCAAGTAGGGAACCTCCATGACCTCCAAGAAGAGATCCTCCAAGAAGAGATCCTCCAAGAAGAGATCCTCCAAGAAGGGATCCTCCGTTACCAGCGAGAAGTGGAACAGTGTACGAGTTAACGATGGGTGCTGGTAGTGGAGCAGATGCGACTACTGGAGCAGAGGCGACTACAGGGGCGGCTTGGACGATCGGAGCAACAGGGGCAACGGCGGCGGCAAGTGCTGCGCTATGGACTATGCTGCTGCTCTGATGACTGATGGAGGTAGGTACACTGCCAACTATGGCGGTGTTGTAAGCCAAAGGGGCTGACAGGAGACCAGGGGCTGCGGCAGCGACGGCCAGAACAGCAAACAACACCACCAGTTTGAACATCTTGGTATATTAGTTTGGTCTTTGTGTTGACTGAACAAGTTGACTGATAATTCTCTTGCCTTCTGCCACAGTATTTATACATCGAAATGTTGAAACAAATCATTGATACCTAACGATATACCATGCAGATATCAAATATCTCTGTATACTAATGTAATAAATATTCTAGAAAAACAATTTTTAATGAACACAAATATTTGTTTATTCTTTAATATTATCGATAACAATGGTAATAATTTGAAACTATTGAAATTTACCTATTGGATGAGTTATATAATTTAAGATTCTATTGAAGTGTTAAAATCTGCTTTAGGGCTAAGCAGATTTTACTAGAAATACGTATTATTTTATTTTAGAATTTATTTTTTTCTTAAACAATTAAAATGGGATTTCTATTAAGGTTTTATTTTTATTTTTGCAATAAATATTATAATTATTATTAATTAAAATAATACACATCAAATAAATTTGCCAAAGAAAAGTCTTTAAAAACTGTTTAAAATATTTTTAAATTTCATTTAATGTAATAATAATAAAAATTTATTGGCCTAACATAAATAAAAATAAAAATTATATATTAATAGGCTGGCCAAAGGGCTATCGATTGAGGTCTTTCTGCCCGGGAACATAATTTAATGAAAGAACAATATAGCATATAGCAAAGTAATGAGAGGAATAAAAAAAGCAGCGTAGTAGGAACAAGTGGGTATCAATCGAGGGACATTAGGTATTGGAATAGGGATAATGTAAGATATTTAAATTGTGGATGGATATTTGGGTATCGGGGGACACATAATTTAGAGAGGGAGGCTTTGTTGGACTGTTTAGATTTAAATTTCAAGGAGAGGGAAAGGTATCGGTCGAGGAGAGGAACTATTTTGGTTTTGGAGATAATTTTTTTTTTTTTTTTTTTTTTTTTTTTAAAGCAATCTATCTACAAGAAGAAAAAAAAAAAACAGATAACATGCTCTAGAT